ATACAGAGCTATATATATAAATTTATTAAAAAAATATAAATAAAAAAAAAAGAAAAAAAATTCTTTTAATATTGTTACCGTTTATATTAAGCAAGACATTATATTCATATAAATATTTTATATATATAAATTATATACGAAAAATTATTATAATATATTATATATAAAAATTATTATAAATTATAATATAGAAATGGAATACATATGTTCTCGTACAATAATATATAATTTAATATTTTTTTATGTATTATTGCTTTATCAAATTTTTAACAATAAAATCTACAACAATAAAACGAAGTGAATCTATTCAATATCATTTATTGATAAAAAATTTGAACAACTACATAATATATAACGATTGATAAGAGTAAAAGAAATATTACATTAAAAATAAAAAAATTAAAAAGGGCGCGAAATTAATTAATTCTTATTGTCAAAACAATCAATCATATCGGTATAATGTATCGACACAATATATCGATTTACTATTGTCGATTATTGACTAAATTAAATCACTGAAGTTTAATTTTCTGTCCTAATTAATAAAAGAATAAAAATAAGATATTTCAATTTAAGAATGTTACTTATTTATTTACTGTAAACAACTGATTAACTTCTAAAAATTAAAGAACATTGAACTAGAAATCATGAGATGATTTTTTAATAATTCCATAAAATATCGACCGTTTTATATCGTACATACCGATTTCACCACGGTATCCATGTCGTGATCGAAGATCGTATTTCTTCGTGTAGTCGCGTAACGATCCCATTTATTGAAGAAAAAACAAAGATATTTATAGAAACATATTATAATTTACGAAATAATTTTCTCAAAATTGATTATTAAAATAAGATTATGTTACGTTCGTAATAATATGGGCTCCGCCCAACTGCAATGATGCACCATTGACAATTATGATTCCGTACACGGTTCAACTCAATACTCAACCGAACACAACGTACACCGACACAACGTATGTGATTAATCGATCGTCTTATTTCAATTGAACCGATAATTTACACAAACGATGATTCAATAAATTTAATAGTGACTTCAATAATCATCATACACTAATCAACATATTATAACCGTTATGATCAGCATTACGTTCATTTTGTGGCTAACTTGTCACTCTCATGTGCACTACCGCTATGAGTATATTCACTCGTACTTCATTTCCTCCTCTCTCTCTTTCCCACTCCTTTCGAAATGCTCGGTCGGTCGGTCGGTTGATTTATCCGTCGGTAGCTTTATTTATTCATATTAAATATATCTTTTTTATTAATTTATTTATTTTTACGTAAAATATTCTTATTATCTCATTCCAAAATTATGAAACTATCAAATTAAAATATGACACCTTAATTCCATTACTCAATCTTCCCCTCTCCTTCCTCCATCCCCTCTCTACTAGCTCATTTCTTCTTTCCCGCCCTCACTCATTCACTCATTCACATTCTTTCTCTCTTGTTCATTCGCTCATATGCTCTCTTCCAATTCTCTTATATCCATATATTACTAGCTCACTCATTCATTGATTCAATCGCGAACTTGCTATACATCTTTTATTTTAGACATATTTAAATGATTTTTTCATCTTTCGCTATATTTAATTTTTGTTTCAATGTGATCATCAATTATAAATTAATAAATTATTAATTATGATTAATTAATCAAATTCAATAAAAAAAAAATAAATATATATAAATCTTACCAAACAGATATTCTGCACACAAGTTCCAACATTTCGTATTTCTTGCAAACTTCCCCAGGGACGTGAATTATCCGATTTATCTGAATAGGTTTGGCACAGTGGTCGAACATAATCCATGCTCGTATTAAGATCTTCAAAACTATGCACTAAAGATTTGGAAATACCAGAAAAAACTTTTGGACTAAATTTATCTGGTATACCAATTTCTTTTGATTCTGCTAATCTTGTAAATTTCGATAATTGTTTCGATTTGATTACAGAATCATCAGATATTTCAATGGCATCTTCTAAGCCATGCAACATCGCGTTAGTACAAACGGATACGAGAGAACCAACGGACGAACTAAGCAACCCCTGCTTAACTGTTGAAGCAGATGGCAATGGACAGGTGGGCAAATCCCCCCTCTTTATTCCGTTTTGTGTATCGGAACTCATCTCGGAATTTTCTACCACTTCCGTATTTATTTCATTGCAAAAATCATTAAAAACAACACTTTCACGAGGCAATTTCAAATTATCTTTGTACATGTTTAATTTATTTGCTTCATTCCAACAAGTATTTGATACAGCTCGTACCGTTAATCTTAAATCCGCTTCATTATTGTATGATCTTGAATAATCACATGTATCCTAAATACATACCACGTTCATTAAAAATAAAGTTTTTTTTAAATCAAAATGAAAAATTTTAAAACAATTAAAAAATAGTTCTTATATATAATTCTATATATATATTTATTATATCTATAATTTTATTAAAAATATTTATTTTTTAAACGATTTTAATAAATTTGTTACTTGTTATTCTATTGTCTTATTTGTTGCATTAAACAAAATTAAATAAATTTTAACATATATTTAATGAATAATTAAAATATAAAATATTAAGATATAAAAAATCTTATAATCTGTTCCATATATTAAATTAACTACAATTAACATTATAATCAACATACCCTATATTCTGAAGTTGGACATCTTCTTTGGGAAACATTTTGAATAATATTTTTATCAGAACGGCTTGTACAATCATCTTTATAACCAATTCCAGAATCACTATTACTTGAATGAGCTGTTGATGTACTTATATTGCTCGGTTGTGGAGAAGCTGTTTCTTGGTGTCTTCGCATTTCATTATATGGATTTGTATCAGTAGCTGCAGAATCTGATATGTATAGAGTTTGTATAGCACCTATTAGACCATTGCAACTATCTGGAAATTCCTGACATACATTTAATTCAGAAGTTTTGGTACATGTAAATCCAAATATATTGCATACACTAGAATGTACTACATGGTCAATTAATTTATAATAAATTGTAAAAACATGACAAGAATTTGAAACAATATTTTCTTTATCTTTAACAGATTTAGTTAATATGCCAAAATATTGTTTGTCCTGTTCAGAAAAGGAATTACAAAATATTATTCTATAGGATGGATATTCTGCTATAATACGATTTTCTGAATTAGTGAGCTTTATATTTGCTACATGTATTGTTAACAATACCGTAGTTGGATTTCTTTTTTCAGCTTTCAACCGTTTGATACATTTTCTCAATACCTGGAGAAATAAATAAAAATTAATAAAATCATATGTAAATTAATTGTTTCACATAAGTTTAAAAAATAATTTATTACAATAATAATATTATCAAAATTATATATTACCTGCATCATACACGATGGATGTAATTGATTTGGAATATCTATAGTACCAAGATAACCAACAACTGTTCTATGTACTATTTTCTCAGAATCTCTTTTATGAGATGTTGGTGGTGGTGGAGGTGGAAGAGGACTAGACATATCCCAATGATAATGTAAGTTACAATAATTTCCATGATTTTGCAATTCAGGTGGTGTTTTTCCAGCTACATCAAACATAGCACCACTTTGTAAGTCTCGTACGACTTTAGCAACTCTACATTGTAATTGTAATGCTCCAATGTTACTTGCACGAGGTTTATGAATATATTTAGGTTTGCAGCGTATTGCCGTTAATCCTTCTTCATCCGAAGAATCAGAATAATAATTTTCAGCTATTTGTAATCTTAAAATACCCTTAGAACGACCAATTAATTGTACAACATCATCATGTGGTAATTTACTAACATTGTGACCATTTACAGATACTAAATAATCGCCGGCTCGTAATCCAGCAATATCTGCAGGACTCCCTGGAACGATGCAACTCAATATGCAGGGTTGTTGTCCCGAGATCGTAAAACCAAATCCTTTCATTCCACGTAACACCTCCACTGCTCTTACACCGTAGTTCACTCGCTTTTTCTTCTTTCTATTTTGATGCATTCTTATATTTTCTTTTCATCAATTAACATAAAAATTTCAATCAGTTGTTCAAAATTAAATCAGATTATCATTGACTTAATACTTTCACGATCCAAAAAAACTTCTGAATCATCTTTACTTAAATTCTATTTTCATCACCTATTCTATTTCTTTCAATTTTTTCGAAAGAAAAATAAATGTATCAAAATATAATAATTTATATATCACACGATTAACCGAACTAATCATCGATAATCAATTCCCATTTCAAATTGGTTCTTGACCGTTTATACTGTGATTCGTGACGGCGTTCTTTCTGCGCTCTTGTACCTCTTTCTCTTACACTATATTACTGTATCACTAAAACTCAATTTTTCATTCATTTTTTTTTTAATTTTTATATACATTTTTAGAATTTATACACATTAAAATGCACAATAGTATTTATCTTATTTTTTTAAACTTCTGAATAATGAATAAGATGTTTTGATAATCTCGTCATTCTTTTTCTTTTACTTCTATCCTTTCACTCCCTCCACTTTCTTTCTTTCATTTACATCATTGTTTGTACCTATATATCCATCGATTCATACACTTCCGGTACACAAATACATATTATACTAGAAATTTCATAATGAAACTTTTTTTTTTTCACATTGAATACATTTTCATATGAAAGAACTATTATTGATATTATGATAATTGATATAATGATTGTTATTATTTATATAATTTCTTTTTTCGATAACAAATAAATATGTAATAAAAATTATTAAAAATTCTTTATTATTTATCTTAGTTTTAATAGATTCAATTTTAATTCATATTATATTCCATTTATGTATATAATACTTTTTACTTTTTAAATATAAAGTGAATAATAATAGAAATTAATTTAATTATATGACAAGTATCAATTTAAAAATTTATTTTATTCAATTAGAAATATTATAAAAATTTATGTTTATTTTAAATATTATTTCAAATATTTTTATTTTTTTAAATATATTAGAATTTAATAAATATATAACTAATGCAATATATTTTGATCTTTATTTATTAAACAAAATATTATTTTTATTGTATAATTATTATAATTTTGTTTTTAATTGAATGTAA